AAAGATACAAGACACTCGTAACTACACACTACAAGAACCGGGACAGGATGGTCAATTTGACGACTGTACAAAGGATGTATTGGAGGAACTGTGCGAAGATGATTACACAGATGCCGAAGAAGAACTTGAGGCGAATCTTGACACTGATCAGTTAACATCTAAAGTTGATAGATGATAGCTCCTTGTACTAACACCTTGTGTTAAAGATTGTTTAGGACCCTTGAAAACACTAATACATAATTTTTCTATGTCCATTAAATTTCGCGAGATCAAAGTTCGCGGTCGTTATTTTTCGCGGATCTTTAAGTTCGCGAATTTTTTAAAATCGCGAAAATCGCGAATTTAAGAACCCGCGAAAACAAAGGAGAATAAGGTAGCTCAAAAAAGAAACAAGAGTTGTTGATGAACTGAAATTTATTTCATATGAAATTGTGATTTAATGGGTACTGGAAGATTTTTCATGTTCGAATAAACTGTAAAACTGTATAAGAACAATTGTTTCCCCACATTAAAAGAAAAAAAAAAATAGGGAGAGGGTCAATCCGAATTCTGACAGAAATGTCTGAAGCAGGTGTCAGAGAGGTTGAAGAGAGTTTGCATGTTCTGGAGTCGATTAGTTTTTCACCCATTTATTCCTTTCTTGGTTTATAATCACTATAATTGACGATGTATTGAACATATTGAACATCGATTTTCAACACAGTCGAGAAAAGATCAGAAAATTCTCTTCAATCGCAATTTAGTTATTGAAACCCATTTTGTTTACGAACATTGTCTGAAAGGGAATAACGCGGTAATGCTATAGCAAAAAAAATTCTGATACGGAGTAGGTTTCATATGCTAAGAAAATTATCAGAGAAAATTTGCATTTGACACTTTTAAGAGCATTTTGATCCTTATATCTAACGTTACACTGTATTGCCAAAAAGTGGCTTGAGCGAATGAACGGACTTACTTGCAATGTTTTTCATGACATGTCGGATTGTATTGAATGGTAAGGGTGTAAAAAGGCAGGTATTTGAGAAGAAATCATTTCTTAATGATCCGAATCTGTAATTTGACGATCGAGTCTGAGGGATTTAGTTGTGCTTTGTTTTACGAAGCCAAATTTCATTTTCCCAATGCGCGCACTTATTGATTTATTTTTCCTCTAAATTTCATCTTGGACCTTAGGTTGTACCGTCAAAAAGCATATAAATAGTAAACCAACTTAAAACTCGACCGCACAATAGGGCCATTCTAGGTTCTGTTAGAGAGAGAAGAATTCTAGGACTCAAGATATGTATTGATATGTTTTAATTTCTGATAACTTCTCCACATATAACTCGGTAACACTGCCTCCTGAAGGTGATTACTTGTTTCTCTTTCTTTTCGCCTTGCGCATAATAAATTAAACAAAAACGAAGCGCGATATTGCTCATCAATGATAGCTCTAAATGAAGGCGTGATTCCGCGCCACTTGTTTCTTTAATTGTTCTTTAGTCAACTTGCGAGTTTTCAAAAAGTTTATCTGGACTCTGACAATACCGCCCCTTTCATATTTTGTATTTGTCAGGATCATAATGGCCGAGGAGAGGTTCTCATCAGGTAAATATACCTCCGTGTTGCCCGCTCAGGATCAAATATATCAGGTAATCAACGTTATAAGACTTGCAAAGAAGAGTCGGATGCCGTAACACAGGCACTCAGACATCAGCTGCAATGCATAAGTTTTATTGAACTAAATCAATTACAAAACTTCCCTGACCGTAAAATATTGTGTAACACAAGATCAGTTCCTAACACATCAGTTGTTGACGGTCGGCGTTATTCTGATTACTGGGACCGTGGGACTTCTTCAATCAACAAGCGGGACACTGAATTCCAGCCTGTATGACCGTTGGAGTCTCCATAGCCAGCGCAGTTTCCAGTGTTGATCCCAACACGGATTTTTCCCCTGTGAATGTTGTCACAGTAGCCTTCTATTGCTCCAGGGCTGCGGTCCCGGTGGCTACCGCTTGCCTTCCACCAAACGACATCAATAGGCAGTGGACCGCTGCACTCGGCGCCATTGAAGGTGATGAACCATCGCTTACAACAGCTGCTGCAGTGGAGGTAAAGGTTTCCCTGATAAACAACACGGAGAGCGGTGTCATCTTTTCTCTTGTCAAAAACACAATCCTACAAAATACAAAGGCAAGGACGTGATGGATACCTGATTCCAAGTTAGACACAAACGTGGTACGTAACATGTTTTTGCTTAATGCGACCGTTTTGTTGAACTAAACAATACATTAAATTGCTGCTATAAACCTCGGTTTATTCAGATGTCAGAAATATCACTCAGTTTATCATTTACATAGAAAAACAATTATGCGAAGATCAAATCAAACATGACACATATAGGTTAACTTTTATAAAACTAAATATTAATGAATACCTTGAGAAGTGCAATTCGCCTTAATCACAGTCCGCCATGTTGGATGCAACGTCACCATTTTTGGCATGAAAGCGAGGCCAC